CAGGTGCAGTAAAACACTCTATGGATGGGCTCCACTTGTCAAGCATCCATGCCATGTTCATCGGAAAACTCACTTGGCTGTAATCACGCCACTGAAGAGGGTGAGCTGTGCTGAGCCTCCTGCCCAGGATCTATCTGTTCATGTCTGGGGCTAGTTTTCAACAAGACTGCTGCAGAGGATGAGATTGGTGTTCTCAAAGCCCTGCCTGGATTACAGCTGTGCAGTTTCCTTTAGCACCGACACTACTGGTCAGCGAGCAGTGAGCTCAGGTCCCTTTCATGAGTTGTTTTCCATAACAACCCTACTGGCTGCTCTGAATCATGCTCCCACTTCCAGCCTCCACCAAGTCCCTGAGCAGCTATTCTATTGCTCTTCCCAGGCTTGAAATCAGGGTTATGGGCTCACATCTCCCACACGTGCCCAATCTGGCCAAGCCTCGGTACTCAGCAATTAATCCAGGGTCCCCTCATTTTCCAAGCATTTGTTTACACTGCAACAGGGCAGGAACTCCCTGATTTCCTTTTCCCAGCCTTTCCCAGTCCTGCCTTGCAGTCCCTCGTGGGTACCACTGGGATCAGAAATACCTGTTCCTCCTCTCCCACCCTGAGCGAGGTAACACCTGCAGCCACCAGCTGAAGAGGAAAGATGTATATCAGTTCAGTTGTGTATCTAGTTAAAATCAGATCAGCACAAAAGCCTTCGCCCTATTTGAAATACTGTGCTCGTTCCCACTGCTCAGTCTCTGTCCCTGGGGCTGCCTGTCCCTCTCAGTTAATCTCCTAGGAGCACTGTGCTGCCCTGAAGGTCACGCTTTTGTAGGTGCTGTAATCGCTCGGGGCTCTTTTCTCTGCCCTCTCTGTAATTGGTATCATTTTATCCCTGGCTTCATCCTCCATAATCCTGCAGGTAACCCCTTGTCTTGCTCTTTCCCGCCTCTGGCTGCTGGTGTGCAGGGACGCAGTGGCTATAGCAAGCGCCAGGCCAGGCCCAGTCCTGCTGGGCCACCAGGCAGAGTTTGGACACTGACACAGGCAGAGTTTCCCCCCCCCGCCAGCACACTGCAGCTGCCTGAGTGAAGTCCTGGCATTTCTGGGGGAAAAGCAGTGGAAAAATCACTTCCACATGCAGTGGAACCAGCAGCTCCAAAGCACCCATGGAGGAATGCAGCTCAGCTTCCCAGATAACGCCTCTTTCCCAGTGTGAGGAGAAACCAGACTCATCTGTGCTGGTGCTGAGCAGCACCAGACTCTTCCTTCAAATCCAGCACCCTCTCTGGACACCTTCCTTCAAATCCAGCACACCTCTTATCCTCCTCCTGCCCTGACTACATCCCAAGCCTTCTCCAGACGTCCCAAATTTCCAGCACTTTTGCAACCACAGGTGAATTTAAGACTGTTTTGACAAAAAAGCTTGAGATTATGTCAGTCTGTTCCAAGCTGTGTTTTGTCAGTATGTAGTGACAGTGCAGGACATTGGAAGAGGGACACAGGCTGCAAGAGGAAATAGATAAGGGGTATGTGTGTGTGTGTGCATGCAGCTGGAGCACCAGCTGCAGCAGCAGCAGCCCTGCAAGTACTCCTGCCTTCCCCAGAATGTAGTGGTGCAGATGGGGCAGTGCAGATCAGCCATGCTGTTCCTCCTCTCACACCCTGACTGAGATAATGTGTGCAATCTGCGGTCTCCAACTGAAAAAGAGAAAAGATCTGTGTCAGTTCTGGTTGTGTGTCTAGTTCAAAATCAGATCAGGGTGGGATCATGGGCATCATCCCAGGCAGCCCAATCAAACACTGGTGAAACCTTCCCGCAAGGCTTGTGAGGACTGACAGAGGACATCAGAGCCAAAGTGGTGGTCACAGCCGCCTAGCACCACCAGGACAGAGGGCCTCAGGGCTCCTCTCTGCTGACTTGATGGAGGAGATGAAGTTGCCACGATGTGAGCATGAGGGTCAGGGCTGCGGTGCTGCAAATGCCACATCCATGGTGGGCATCATATTCATGCACCCCACGCAGTGCATCGGGAGAGCCCAAAAGGGCCATTTCCTGAAAAAGCAAGCGGAGACATGGGCCCAGCACTGCCCTGCTCAGCAATACTCCTG